GCTGTTACCCACTTGCAAATGATGAGATATCGGTTGGCGAAGTGGCTCGCGATGAGGACCGTTGTCTGGAATTTCACTTACGGTATTGGGTGCCAGTTTTTAAGGCTGATTCTGGTATTACGGTCATCTTTTAATCATCTCACCTGAGCAAATGAGAAAACGAACATGATCAGCAATATCCTCCCAAGTATCACATCTTTTATATAACCTGTATTTAGAATCAAGAGATCGAAATCGTGAATGTGAACTGTCTGAATGGAACTCATTGAGAGTCAAGATTTCCCACTAACCGGCACTGATAACATGTGAACAACCGAGAATTTTATGTTGAATCCACACATGATCATCATGATTATCTAAAAGGAGCATTATCAAGGGTTACTGTACTCGGTTTACTCTATATTGTGCCATGTGCTTTGTCGATTTCGCATTGATACAATAAAGAAGAAGAATGTTCAGAAATATTGATGAAAAACCCATTGTAAAAGCGTTTAAACGAGCTATTTTGTTGATTAGGAGGGACATCCTGGAAAGGTTTGAGATTAAGGTGAGTGAAGGACAAAGTTTTGAAGGGTTGAACTCTCGGGTTGACTCTTTAAAGCATGTCCCAACTACCGTTACAGCTTCATGATTTGGTCTTTATTGGGGTTTGATTCTTGTCTCCAAGTTTGTTGCTGTTTCCGCTTGCTTGCTTAATCTTTACGACTGATTGGGTACTTTAACATGTTACTGATTGTGGGTTACGGTTACGGTTACTGAACTTTTGATTTATTTATTGAAATATAGAAGGAGAAATGAAAAGAAACAAAATATTAGTTTTGTTAAAATCAAAAAAGCAATAAAATTTACGTGGCTAGGACTCAAACCCGAGCCAGAAAGGGGCCGGGCAGAGGGGGGCCAGGGGGGGTGCGTTCTATGCCTGGGGTTTGGCGACGGCGGTGCAGCGGCATACCCCGAGTCAAGCTTTAAGCCTACTTAAATCGACGTTCGGAAAGTTTTAAACTGAAGCTTTCTTATTAAAGATTCAATATTTTGACTTCCAAAGAACATCGAATCTTTGACCTCAATAAACCCATGCCCAATTTTGATTCACAAAGAGTTACAGGCCAAAAATGAAAGAAGCGGGACAAGAAAAACTAGTCAGACCAATTTCTTTCGGTGTTCCTTTTTCCTTATTCATATCTTCGTCTCAATGGTTCCCTTTTTATCGTATTTTGACCCTTTTAAGCCAATTGAGAAGCAATGAATCTTGGAGAGGGGAAATTTGAGAGATCTGTCTTTTTGTCGTCATCGTAGTTGTTGAATTTTCAATGAGTAAGTCATAGCTTTAGTATAAAGGAGTACAAACTATAGAGTTGTGATAACTTGTTCAAAAATTTGTTTCAAGATTGAAAATGAACTTGTCAAAGGTAGTTTAGAAGCTGAACGGCCAGTAGAGAAGTGTTCAAGAATGAGTCACAGTACGATTGAAGTTGTTAGAGTTGAAATTTCGATAAATCGACATTATTCTACTAGAAAAATAGCTGCAGTAATACTTTTTTAAATGACAAAAATATGGCCAAATACTGTGTAAAATAGATAAAACGATAAAACGTTTTTCCAAATCGTTGTTTTTTTTGAACCAATAAGATTAACGATTGGATCAAGGCTACAAACAGCCAGTTAGATAAAACCCCACAAAATGTTTGTCTTTAGGTGAATGGGGGTGGACCTAAGAGAGCCCTTTCACGCAAATCTCAATCCTTTCTTCATTTTTTTCCCTTTTCTCAGAAATGGTTTGCTTTTGGGCTCAAGGGGTTTCATTAGACGAGGTGGAAAGAGAGAATGGAAAGGAGGGTAGAGGAGGAGACATTCTCAAAGAATACATCCCACAAGGCTTTTAAGAATCATGGGATTTTCCTTTGGTTATAGAAACTTAAAAGAGGATTTATAGTTAAAGCAATACAAAGGTAGTCAAAGAAGGCGTTGGCTTTGTAGGTATACAAATACGAACAGAAAATGACTGCAAAATTGTTCAGAACTCAAGACCTTCAAAAACCCTTCGAAAAACCCTCAAGACCTTCAAAAACCCTAAATACTACGAGATTGGGTCTTGAAATTGTGGGTGGATCTCTTTAATAACCCATATTTATCTATTTACTTCATTTTTTCCTCGAAATCCTCAAAATTATTCCCGAAAGCTTCTAAAGAGTCCATAGATTAGAATTGGATTTTCTGTTTTGATGAGGTTTGGGAAGAAAATGGGTTAGACTAGGGAAAACGAGAAAAGTTTATTGTCTAGACTTATTTTAGATCAAAAAACACAACCAAGACGTCAAACATTTACTTAGCATGTAGAAGAAAAGTGGATGAGTTGGGTTGGGTCATGAGAGAAGGGGTAAAGAAGGCGAAAATTGGGAACACGTGTCACGAAGCAAGGCGATTGCAAGCGAGCAGCAAGAAGAAACAGAAAGGTAAAATTTTCCGTAAATTGATCAATTTGCTTTTTAGAATAAATGAATTGGTTGGTGTAAATGATTTCAAAGACTTTGTTGGATCATGGACTTAGCTTTACCCAAATCACACAATCTAAATAAATAGTACCCTAAAAATTGTCTGTGAATTAGCCTTTTAGTAATTGTTGAAAAGTTTCAAATCAGATGCATTCAGGCTTTATTGCTAAATTCCAACGGATCGCCGATTTGTCGATGATGTGTGTGAGACAGATTGGGTCATGATAGTGTTTTGAGAAGGGAGAAGTTTGTCCAATCTGAACAAAGCTAATGAACTCATTAGTTTTGTTCAAAATAAGTCTTACTCCAGCCATCGATTTGCTTTCTCGATAATAAACTTTCGATACGGTTCGACTAGGAAACAAATCGATATAGAAGACGTTTTTTTTTGTGTGGGGGAGGAAAATGGGGGGATTTTAAAATTTGTGGGGGAAAAATTGGGGGTAAAAAAAAGGAAAAGGGGGAAAAAAAGGGGGAGGGGGGTAGGAAAAAATTTTTTTTTTTTTTTTTTTTTGGTTTTTAGTAATGGGGAGGGTTGTGAAATGGGAATTGTTTTTTTTTTTTGATAGGGTGTTGGGTTTTATAAAAATATATTTTTTTTATTTTTTGGGTGTTGCTATGAGAAAAAAAAAGAAAAAGAAAAAAAAGGGAAAAGAAAAAAAAGAAGAGTTTTAATATAATTTTCAAAACGAAACCTCTAACAATATCGGCTATCCACTTCCATTCGGTGGATGCTCAAATAAAAGCATCGAGATGAAAACGATGAATAAGACTGAGAGAAGTGGGATCGTTGTCTGGAAGTTTGTCTGGAAGGAATCATATTCCTTTAAGAATCATAGCTTTTTGGTCTATCTAATGGCCTTGGTAGTCAAAATCGTTTAACTGGTTCAGTTTTAGAAGTTAAAAGCATTTTTACAACCACAATGGATCAATGAAACGATAAAGATCAAATCCAAGCTTCAGTTCCGTTTCAGAAGTTTGACTAACTAAACATAACTTTTGAAAAATTCTTTTCCGACAATTAATTTCTTTTTATTTTGCTTCTAAACGATGTCGCAAGTGTTCAATTTTCAGCGCTTCAATTGTGCCTTGGTGTACTCTCAGTACAAATGGATAATCAAAGGTCAGAGATCCTGCAGAACAATTCTTGCAATTTGCTGTATCACTGGACTTAATTAATTATCTTCTATTAAGTCTATGGGATAACAATTATTGGCAGATCTTTTCGGTTTCCCTAATTTAAATTGAGAGTTAAATTCCTATTGCTTTTAAGGGACGGCGCGCTTTCTAAAGCGTGGATGCGCTACCGTACCCCGCACAAAAATTCGCTTTTGCCATTCTTTTCATTTTTCCGCATTTCATGATGGAATCTTTATCCAGCTTTTACGCCGAGTGCCGCTGAGTTTTCTTCCCCCTTCGTAAAATTGATTATGGTTTTTGTAGCGCGTTTTTAAGGTACTCTCTCTTTTCCCTCGTTCGTTCCCTCTCTTTTATATTATTTGCCCATAGTTTGTTGTTTAAATTTCTAATACGGTTTTATTTCGTTTTCTTTTCGGCTCCTTCCACTCCATTGTTCTGAATCCGTTCACACATGCCGTATAAACTCAACTTAACCAATTCCTTTTAACTAAGACCCAAATCTAAATAATCTGCCACGGCGCGAGCTTGTTATTTCGTCTTGGGTTTCGTGTGAAATCATTTTAGAAAAGGATTGTAACGTCTAAATGTGTTAGGTAAGGGAGCTAGTTACTAACTTGGACAAACAGCAGCATTTCTTTGCTTCTTCATTTTTGCAATATTTTATCCCAGGAATTGCAGTTTTTTTCCTTTGCCAATTTGCCTTATTTTCATCGTCAAACATTTCAGTTATCAGTCAAGAATGTTCACCTCGACTCAACAAATCTTCAAGTCTTTCAATTGTCCCAAATGTGACACACCATGTGAGTTGATTTTGAACCAAATTAATGAGGCTAACTCAAATCGAACGATTTCTAGAGTATTTTCAACATATTTCAAGTAGTACTACAGCGCTTCTGCTTGCTTTCCAAGTATAATCGGCTTTGAGATAGTGTTTGGTGGCTAAAGTACGTCAGACTAGGCAAATTATCGGCTAGAACCATCAAAAGCCCTTGAAGCTGCTGCATTTAAACGAGCCTGCCAGGAATATCCCAAGAATGCTCCAAACCCAAAACTTTAAAGCCAGCTTAGGTCAGCCCAAAATTTACCAAATACAGTTTACACTTTAAAACTTTTGAAGTACACAAAATGGGATGTAATTGCTTATTAAAAATGATACAAGTTTCTGTCACGCAATTGCATTTTTTAGACTCGAAAACGGCAGGCGCAGAGAATACGCCAACGCAGACTATTTGCCCTTTTCAAGAAATTCCAGAAATTTGTATGGGATGTTACGAAAAGCAAAGGAAAATCGATCGAAGAATCAATCCAGTGCATCAATGCGGCGAATGGGGTTGTTTTGTTCCCAAGCCAACTCCATCGTATTACTTAATGGGTAAGATTTTTTTAAACAGTAAAAATCTAGAAGACCTTCTTTAAGAGCTCCTCGCAAGTGGGGCTTTCAAATTGGATCAGGAAGGGAAAGGATATGTGCAAACAACCCAATCAATCACAATTCCGGAATGTCCGAGTTGCCAGGAGGAATGTGGGTGATGCTTGGTTTTAAGAAAGCAATACAAGTTTAGATTCTTTGAGAGATGCCAAAAAAGAGCCATTCACTCTCCATTGTGGACATACGGTGTGTAATGGATGTTTTACCCAAAGGGCCGGTTTTTCGTTCTTCCCGCACAGATGCGCACTGTGCCAAGCCAATAGTTTTCCGCTAATGGTGGTAAAGACACCGGGGGAAAATCGACTTAAAAGTTCGTTTTGGAAAGTGACAACTATTAGTAATATTAATACTAAAACATTAATCAATTTAGCCTTTCTGCGAGAACTTGAAGAAAAATCGACGCCAGAAGAAGCTGAAATGAAAAGCATTTGTGAAGATTGTAGAAAAGAGGTTTGATTGAGATTCTGTTTGAAGGAAAGACTCTTTAGGTGTCTCTCCTCGAAATGTTCCAATGCATGGATTGTGGGGATAAAATGGTAAATGAATTTTGATTAAATCATAAAGAGATCACTGCAGTTATGCTCCCGATGTTCTTGCAAGAATCATCGTCTTCATCAGATTATCGATCTTGAAGTTGTTGAGGTTGGCACAATTTAAGAGCTTCCTGGAGTAAATTGTACTAACGTTTCTGACGCAGAAACTGTGGCAAGTGACTCGCGAAACGATCATCCCACAAATTGAGGCCTACAATGCCTGTTTCCCGGAACTCCAATCGAATTTGATCAAGAATTTCAATAAGTGCCAAAAGGTGAAAACTTTGATTAGAAAAAGTTGATGAGCCTGTGTTTTCAGAAAATTCTCAGTCGAACCGATCAAGTCGCTTACTTCAATGGGTTTGCAGAAGCAAAGGAGCAACAGAAGGCTTGCCTGTGAGTTTTAAACGGTCAAATTAATCAAAAAAGAATTGCACATAAAACAAGAACTTTTGATTAGTGTAACTTTTTCCGAGAGTGTGTCAAGCTAGAGGTTCCACCGCGCACAACGGGTACAACGAAATGTAAAGATTAAAATCGTAGAACGGAGAAATCCAAACAATAACTTTTTTAAGTTGCTACCCGGCTAGCATAAAAACATTCTTTCATAGAAATCCTTCTACTGGAAAAAAAGTTATTTCAATGAACTTTTACACAGCACAATGCTATTGCATTTTGTCCAATATAAATGAGATAGATATTAGTTTTATACGGATTTATAAAAAATTCAATAAAACATCGGACAACAATCTAAAAAAATCGAAAAAAAAGGATTTCTTTGAAAGAATGTTTTTTATGCTAGCTGGATAGCAACTTAAAAATGATTGTTTGGATTTCTGCATTCTACGATTTTAATTTGGTACTCGATGTGCCCCAGGCCAGGCACAGGCTAGTGGAACATAACGCCATAGCTATGTTCTCCCACTGTTAACAGGAAATATCCCAAAAGCTTTTTCTATTCTTATTGTTCATTTTGAGAGCATTTGGCGAGAGATTCGAGACGATTTGCGAGAAATATTTGGGTGAATTGCGGTCATTCAACACCGGTATTGAGGTGAGTGCATTTGACATAGGAAATTGGTTTTTAAAATTGAGTAAATGGATTTTAATTTCTGTAATTTCTATTCAAAACTCTCAACCTGTTGTTTTCATATAATCTGAATTCGAAAATGGTCAAAGTGGCAAAACTAAACGATTCAGAAGCTCATCGATGACATCAACGAGTCGCCAAAATGAAATGAAAATCTTTGAACTTTCTCTATTCTGACATTTTTCACTCTTACTCAAGTTTTGTGAATGCAAATTCAATTTCATTTATTTATTTTATTTTTATTTTGAGTGTTTAGAACACTGTTTGTTCACTTTCGCAATTCGCAAGATAAGCAATCAACATTTCTCTCAACTTATTATTTCGTTGTGTGTTATTGCCAAGTTTTCCTCTAGTATTATCTTGATTTCTTGCTGATTTTAAGAAATTCATTAATTGCAAAGAATAAAAATTTGCAAAGAACAATTTATGCTGTAGTTTGAAACAATATGACAATTTGGCAATCAATCAAAGATTGGCCAAGTCTTCGACCAAAAGCGCCAGCGGTAAAATGGCTGGTAATTTTTGGGAAAGGGTGAAAGGCCTCTAAGTTTTGAATATTTCCTAATTTCCTCTATTCTAAAACATTTATGCTTTGAACCAATCACGAGAAAGTGAGCACAAATCAACGAACCTTTAAAGGTTTCAATTGTTCACTTTGTCATCGACCGTGTGAGCGATTTAATTCGAAGAAATCTTGGATGATTGGATAAACAGACAATAACTAATTGTAAGCAAAAGCCCTAACCTAAACCCTAGGATCAATAAGCCAGGCAAAGCTAGAAGCTAGGTTCAGTCCTCACAGGGGAATGATCCACACACAAGGTGATAATTTTTTTTGGCGGGACCAGGTTACAAAACAACCTTTTATTTTTTGCTCAAATTCAGAATTGGTCGAGAAGAGGACCGGCCACTGATACAAGCCTCTTTTGTCTCGTTTTTGAGGTTTGCATACTGAGGAAAGCTGAATAATGAAATTGATGTTACTTTAAAGATTAGAGCCATGATCATCAACTAGATTTTCTAAAGTTCTACAGATTATTTAGCTGTTGTTATTTTTTAAACCGAAACCTTTAACAAGATCGGCCATCCATTTCCATTCAGTGGATGCTCAAATAAAAGAATTGAGATAAAAACGATGAATAAAATGGAGACAAAATGAATTGCCCATGTGCGGAGCCTGGGGCTAAAATTTTTGGGCTTTTCAGCAAAAAGAACTCAAAAAAATTACGGTAGCCAATATTGTGAAATTGAATAAAACATGAAAGTTGCAAGCCTGAATAATAATATGAATAATATTAGCTTGATGAATTTACCCTTAATCACTTTTTTGTACTTTTTTTAAAAAATAATCATTTAACTGTTTGGCCTACGGTTTGCTTCATTAGAAAGGTTTACTATTTTTCTACAAAATAGCATTTAAATTTTATGTAAATGTCTGGTTTTTTATGGGAGCGTGAAGTCAAAAAAAAAAGCGACAACTCGACGACGCAATTTGGCACTTTAGTTTACAGAACTTATTTTGGCGTTAATAGAGAAAAGAAAGAGCATAAAAAGTTAGGCTTATGGCCAAATTTTTAGAGCAATCTGTTCGGCCAGTTTCTTTGTAGGACTTTTTATCGAATTTTGCTTGGCTGGCTTATTGGTGCCATTGTTGGCTTGTTCCTGGCATTCCAGCAGCTCTCATTTGTGAACTTTCGAGATGATGAAGACGCTAAGTTTTGGTTTTAATTGACTTATTAAAATAAATCTAGCTAGTTAGTTGCTAATCATAAATCATAAAACCATTGGATCAGATCTTCCAAATTCGTAGTTGTAAGTAGACAACCAGGAGAACTAGCTCTACTCAAACTCTAATCCAGGTTAACAGCTAAGTTTTATAACACCAATCATTGGCACAATCTTAGCTCTTATCAAGGCGATAACAGTTTTTTTTTGCCTTTTTTTAGTTGACGCGGAAAATTTCTGTGCTTCAAAAATCCAAAGGAAGCATATTTGGAACATAGAAAAAAATACTAAATACTGGTCATCGGTGCTTTTTTTTTCCTACCATCGGTGCTTTACCACTGATAAGATTGGAAGACAATGTATTCAAAATTTAAGAAACGGAAAAAAAAGCATTTCATTCATTTTCAAAAGGATTCGAAATTTTTGAATGAATCATTTTGAAAGGTTGAATCCTTTTTCCGTGAGTTTCTTAAATTTTGAATAGTCCTGAAATTGAAAGTCCTGAAAAACACTTGACACCTTTTTTCGAAATATAATTATTTACGAAGTTAACTTTAAATCGCAGAAAAAAGAGACTCTTTCAATTTCTTTATTCTGTGACTCATTTTTGAGACAAAACTTTTTTAAAAAGTAGTTTATTGCAGGAGGAAATTAGGCGTCGTTTTTAGGATCTTGACTGGAAAGCCCACGGGTTGACCATCGAGTCATTGCTAGCGCTATAACGATTTTATGAAAAATAGCTAGCGTGCTTTCAAAAGCCACAAAGGGTTTGTCTGAAGTCGGTGAATTGCGACAGGTTTACACGAGTTTCTGGCACACAAGTGACGGTGAGTTCTGGTGGATTGACTCTTTTTACGATGATTAAAGTAGCTTAGTGAATAGTCTACTAGGATCCCAGCCTTTTGACACTGATTTAAAAAACGTCGTTGTTTGCGATTTCCTCGTCAGTGATCAATCGTTAGTCAATAACTTTTCTGATCTTGCATCAACACTTTTTAATAAAAGTTACTTGAGAGTTTTTTAGGTTTCTCAGCAATCTGAAGAGAATATCGATATTCCTGATGTGCCCGATTTTGTCGAACAACACGATGAGTCGGTTCTCAGCATCGCTGTGGATGTGGATGTGATTCCGGAGGCTGAAAAATGACTTGTTCATTGATTGGTTCCTTTCCTCTAAAGTCTTGTATTTTTTAAATCTTGATTATTTTGTAAATTTGTAAAAGTGTTCTTTTATTCTTTGTGCAAAAATGGGTTTCCTTTTTGGTACTTCTCTTTTTGTGGATAAATAAATTAAATGTTAAATGATGGCAAGATGGAAAAGATACGAAAAAAAGGGGCACAGAACTATTAGGTTGATGCAAAAGTCTTTTTCATTTTTTTCGTCTGCCGTTTCAAGCCAACAAATGCACCAATTAAACTACGGTTGATTTCATTAGAAAAACCAATTATTTTTCTGCAAAATAACATTAAAACGGGTTTAAAAATATTTAATGCCTGGATTTTCTTGAGAGTATGAAGTCGGGTAGTCAAAAAGGGCTAACTCGATGATGCGGTTTAGACACCTTAGCTAAAGAAAACCTATCTTCGTGTCAATAGATAAAAGATAGAGAAAAAAAAGTTTGATATTTCGCCAAAATTTCAGAGAAATTCATTCAGCCAATTTTTCCGTAGAGTTTTTTATAGATTTTTACGAAAAAGGCGTTTTTCACTCTCGAATTTGCTTGAAAGTGAACCGAAATTGATTTAAAAAGATGCAAATTGAACAAAAAAAACACTTTTTTTATAGAGCAAACTATAGATTAATTGGTGAATTTGTTACTTTTTAACAGAAGTACGAAAAAAATGAAAAAGACTTTTGCATCAACCTAATAGTTTGATTGAAAATCAAAGATATTTTTTACGCGAAAGAAATTCGCTTTCTATCAGTAAAATGGGCATAATTTATTGAAAAAGATGACAACTATTTTGATTGATTTAGACGACTTTATTGAATAAATATTTCTTTTTAAAATTCACTCATTGCTTCTCGACCAACCCAATATATTTGTCTTACTAAAGTGTTTTTTATATACCTTTTTTGTTGGCCTTCGCTTAATGAGAATTTTAAAGGTTTGGTGAAAGATCAAACAAAATTTGGTGACTCAGTCAATTAAATATTGAATTTTCAGTAACCTCAGCAATGGCGCTCTCTGGGCGTTTGGTCGATCCGAGGCTGTATGCAGAGAGCGTTGATTGACGTTTCGTCGACCGACAGCTCAAATTAATACTATTTATATTAAAGTATTTTATATGGCATAGCTAAAGAAGTTTTACGCCCAATCATCCTCAATAAACAATTCAATGAAACGTGACCTGTACTGTGCTCTACTGTACTGTGGTCTACTGTACTGTGCTCTACTGTACTGTGCTCTACTGTACTGTGCTCTACTGTGTTCTACAATCATCATTGATGTAGCCATCAGAGTAAGTTAATCGTTAGAAAACAAAGAATATTTGAGGAACTGCTGTTTTTGCTCACAAATAAAGCAGTTCCAAGAGGAATTCTTCTAAGTTTGGTGCAACAATCGTTGAGTTGCTTTTTGAATTGGTTTGAAAGATTTAAAACTTTTAAAAGCTTCTTCTGCTCGAGAAAAGTTCATAAATTATCTCAACTTCATTATTTCAAGTTTAGTTTGATTGAAGGACCCTTTGAGCTCACCAGAATGCCTCTTTCAACAAGTCAAGCATTGCGCAATTTCCCTTTCTTCTTTTGACTTCTGCGAGTTGCTTCAGGTTTTGAAAAACGGTTCTGGTCCAGGTTTTCAAATGACATTCAAGAGAAAGATTTTCACTCCATATTTGAGGATAAAAAGCTTTCCCTAACAGGCCGGGTAGTTCTTGGTATTGCCTATTGATTAGATACTTCGACTATTATAGGTTTTTATATCTTGATTAAAACACCGTGATGATGGATGGCTAGCTTTGTATTCTAAACATAAGTTAAGGTATGCACTAGATACCTTTGTCCAATTCTAGAAACAGGGTGGCCCATAATATGTATTACACCTTATATGAAGGCAGATTAAGTCGAAAATATGTCAGATTACTTAAAGTTTGTTATAGTTTGATTTTTATAACATTTTTACACTTACCGTAAATCTTCTAAAATGCGCCGCGGCGCTTATTTTTTCGATCGAGCTCTAGGTGCGGCCCTTTTTAGATGGCGGCGGTTTTTAGAGGGCGGCGCTTATTGTTTCGAATGTACAAGAAATTCTGGAACAAGTATACAAACCAAAATTTCAGGTTTTTTTTTCAGAAAGTCGTTTTCCACTAAAATTTATTTAAATAACGTACTTTTAACAACATAATATAAAAAACGTAACAAAAAACATGCCCTTAAAAAACAATTTCTTTAACAAACAAAAATTTATCCTTTGTC